TAAGTATGTTTGAATTAAACAAGATTTTTTTTAGAAAACAAGCAAAATATTGTGAAATCTTCCTTTAATTGTTTTTAATTGAGCCTCAAGAGTGTGATTTCACTGAATGCATTAAATACAAAAGCACTACAGAAGCAGGAAAAAAATGATTTCCAGATATTTTATAATCATGTTTGTTTAATAACTCCTGAAAGTTGAAGAGGGAATTCTTTGAAAATGAAAAAAGCCATTAGTATTGTTGGCTAGCAGCATCCAAGGAAGAAAGTGTGTTGTGTGTCTACCTTTCTGACTTGATATGTAAAGAGCTGGCCGTCCACTGAATTATTCTCCGATGGTAAATTGTTTCCAGAATCCAGGCAGGAGTGCTGACAATTAAAATTTATACTGAACGTTACAATTTTCCTACTTTGTGTCAGAGCAGAAATTTAGTCTTACAGTCTCAGAATACAGAATTGCAAAATCATTGACTCAGGAAGCAAACTTTCTACTTTTGGCCAGCATACATTCTTACTTTGAAGAAGTTTGTTAACTAGCAATGTCAGTAGTAATACTTTCCATTTTAAGCAGCTGTTTTTAGCATTTTCATCAATCTGATGTTTTATTTGTTTCACTTCGAGTGAGAAATGGCTCTTTGAGCTGCTTCTAACAGCGAGTGAATTAGCAGCATACTGATGTCCCTTGGCATTGTGTGGCAAAACCCAACTCAGTTTTGGTAGTAGCAGTCTGAGAACAAGATTGTGAATGATCTGAAAAATTGCATCTTTTTACTGGGAAATAGGTTTTCCACATAAGTGCAGCAAAATGGAATCATAGACAGTGCTTGTTTATTTAACAATTACTGAGATAGATACCGCTGCGGTGAAGTGAAAGAACACAGTGATAGCATAGGTGGAAGAAGAAGGAAAAATATTATTGCCATTCGTTTGGTGCCTACAGGTCTATATGTTCTAGATTTGGGGTGAGGGAGAGAGAAGGGAAGGAATCCGTACCAGAAATCAACTGTGAAGAAATATGTTGTTTCCCACTTTTTCCCTTGCTCTCAGTTTCTGTGCTTAACTCACATTCCTTTCTACTCTTGAGTGGCTGTGCTACAGCCTTTTCAGAGATTTTAGAGATTGCTGGGAGAAACTACAGCTTGCTTTGCCCTCTGCACCTCTATTTTCTGCCAGCCATCCTCAAAATCTAGGTAGCTTGCAGTGTGGTGACTTCCAGTAGATAACACTTTGGCCTTGTAATTCAACAGTCATCTCTAATTTGCCATGTGATAAAAGAATGAGTTACAGAGAACCTTTCTAGCTGAGTCTTTGTATTACACTGCAATTTTGGTATTCTTTCTGCCCTTTCATTACATACCATTCATGGTCATTTTCTGCTCTAAGTGGCTTCATTACTTCCTTACCTCAGTCAAAATAATACCTGCAAGTTTGTCGTTCACAGTCCGGAAGCCTTAACTCACAAAGCATGTTACTATATTTACTATTCTGATATATGTATGTATATATTATAATTTTATCTATGTTACAGAAGGGGAGAAGGGAAATTTGTGCTACTGTCTTTTGTAATTGAATATTTGAAAGAAGTTTAAAGTGTCTAAAATTAGTGGTGGGAAATTGCTAAATTGGAAGGAATTGTTTAGCATACAAATAATAGAAAGCAATTGAAAAGTTGTGGTATTATAGTGAAGATTGTGGTCCAGTAAAATTATCTTTGTGTTGACTTTGAAGGCTAAAACCGTTCTGACTGATCTGAGGCTTCAACTCTGGTTATAGATCTTACTCCTGTTGTTGAAGATAAACAATATATTTCTGACAGGGTAATTCTTTATGTAGTTATTTGTTTGCACCACTGACAAAACAGATGCACAGTTTTCTACTTCCAAGCATCTGACTGCGTGTATTACTTCACAAGTGTTGATATATATTAACAAAATAGGGTATTTTTGATCCCAACATGATGCTTTTGAATAGTCTGGTACATACATATCAACATAACACTGATGGTATTGTAATATTCTCTTGCAATGTCATACATTATAAAGCAACCCATTATGAGTCAGTTTTAACTTTTGTAAAACAGCACATATATTATGAGACAACCACTTAACTAGGTCACAAATGTGATCAGATGTAAGTCACAAAAGCACAATAAAGAATAGTTGTTTTAGAAGTCTTTTTTTCCATGTCTAACAATAAAAAAAAATTACTTGAATTAACTACAGTGTAAGAAGCAACTATTTCATAATATGGATTAATCTTTCATATTTTCTTTTCTTTTGGGAAAATGTTTTTCATAAGGTTAGGTTATCAGACTTTGAGAAATGACCATAGAACATGACCAATTACTGTGTTCCATAAACATTTTGAAAGCCTATTTTTGCTAGACCTGCTGTGTCCTAAATACCTATTTGCCTGATGAAGTGTAACAATTTAGATGGAATCATTTAAGGCTTATCAGGTAAATAAAAATGCTGTGTTAAAGATATACCTGAACAGACACCTTATTTAAGATGTGTAATTCCTCTTTTAAAAATTACCTGAATGCATATTCATATGACGAATAATCATCACAGCCCTGGCACAGTCATCTGAGTTTGTTAGTTTAATACATATTTTAGAAACGTCTCTAAATAAAATAATGTTCAAAGGGCATTGTTGGGAAATTATTACTGCCTCTAAAATTCTGTTGTATGGGTGTGTGTTCAGACAACGTGTATTGTAACAGTTCTACTTTTTTTCCTCTACTAACGTAAAGAACATGGTTTTCTTATTCTTCATGAGTGTATGTAATGATATGGCATCAAAACAGTTCTTATGAGTAACGGCCAAGATTTTTTTTTACATCAATCACATCGTTATTCGATCTGATTTCCCTTCTACTCAATGAATAGTATTCTGTTCCTTGTAAGAAGTACAGCACAGGATCTGGATAACTAAAGCAAAGCTTTTTTCCCCCAACAGTGAAGCTTTTACTGTAACATAGTCTATTGACTTGCTGCCAATCATTAAGTTTCATACTTTTTTCTGCTGTTCTCAAAGGAAATCTCATTTCTTTTTACTGGGATTTTGATGCCATGTTCCTTGGAAAGTAACATCACTATATCCAAAAAAAGAATATTATGAGGTTGCAATAGTAGCATGCAATTTTAGTCATTAAGATATGCTGATAGATTAAGACAATGAAAGAAGTACAAATTTCTATGTTTATATTTATCTTCAGTACTTATTATCCGGAGCGAAACCTGTTAATAACTTCTGTCTCAGTGACTTCATTTATTTACACACAGAAGTATTTCTAGAATCTCACAGTTTATTAGCATATTTCAATATAGTATTTTCTTATGAGAGACTTTTTTTTTTTTTTTTTTTTTAGAGAAAGAATTTATGCCAGCTGATTAAGCATACAAATAACAAACTATTAATCAGTGTAAGAGGTGGATACCTTCATTGAGATCTCATTTCAGATATGCTGCTACAAACACAGTGAGGCTTCTTTGTGCTTTTGCTCTGTCGTGGTTCCCATTCTGCAAAGTATTGAGCAGGACTGAATAGGCACTGTGTTACAGATCACTCTGGTTATCTTATCCTCATAACCACCGTAGTTTAGAAAAACTAAAGGCACTACCTCATTTTAATCATCGCCTTGGATCAGTCATCTAAGTTGGCTACTATATGTGCTCTTAATGAAGGTGTAGCATAAACCAGCTGTTTACAGGATCTGCAGTACAGCTTGAGATGAGCCAGGAAATCAAAAGAGTCCATATCAAAGAGAACTGTTGAAATAGGTGTTAGAAGCAACCATTGATTTTTCTCCAGCAATAGTAAGAGAAGAAAGGGGGATCTTTCATTAACGTGTCTGTATACATACGATTGAGTCTGGATTAGTTGAAATATGAATCTACATACAACTTACTGCCTCTGTCTGTATATCTGTGAGTCTGTGTGTTGGAACCTGTGTGCCTGTATACATGTGTATTTCTTCCTCATTGTGTGTTTGTGTACGTGTATACACATACACTCCTTCTCAAAAGCTGAGAAGAGAGTGTTTAAAAAGTAAGATAGGATATACGGTAACAGCCTTATTTTTTGTCTTATCCATAGTTATGCTTTGCATGTGAAGTTTCCAGAACATACATTCTGGCATAGTGAAATGATTGATTATACTTTTCACAGCTGTGTAGAACACTGGCTAAAAATACCTTGATAAAGGGCAGAAAAGTAATATGACATTGCATTTTGTATTTTTAATAGATACTTAAATAAATATGCAGTGTCTCTATTTAGTGTTTATGTTAATGTCAATATACTGGTATTCATAATCTTTTAAAGTAGAATGCACAATGTTTTGGCTCTGCAGGTTATTTAGTGTTGAATTTTAGATGGTCTAACCTTTGTAACTGTTTGACTGAATGTCTGATTCACTGAAAGATGAGCTGTGTTCCCTGGCAAGGTACACTCAGTGTATATTCTCAACAATCTTCTAACAAGCTAATGCTCAAAGAATATGAAGTGTTTGATTTCAGTTTATGGCAAAATATATTTTGATTTAGTAACTTCCACTGGTTACAAAGCACATTTTTCCCAGTAGCAGTGACAGAGATAAGTTTGTTTACCTGCTTAGGAAAATCAGAACTTAGGAATGATGGTGAAGAGGAGTAAATGTTTTCTGTGGATATTTTAAACACTTCAAATAATATGGACTATAGTTTTATAACAGTTTTATAATACTTATTGGTGCAAAATTGGTGTGTTTCTGCTTTGTTTCTGCTTATTACAGGTTTATATATACACATATATATATTCAGGTACCATGTACTTTAAATAAATGTTTGAAACAAAAAATGGACACTTGCAGATACTTCATATACAGCTATTTGTATAGGGTATAATATTAACGTAAGTATAAAAGGTGCATCAATACATATGCTATTTTTCTTGCTTGCTTAACTTTGAGTGTAGAATCTCTCAGGATTTTATTTTTTATATTACTTCATTTTACTTCAGGAATCAAGAGGGAGTTCAAACATCACCATGACTTCAAGCTAGGAATTCAGCCTGACCAGCGTTGAATCCCAGATTTTTTGGCATTGCAAGCTGATCTTGACACATCCTACAACAGTTTTATGCACAATAGAGCCAATTCTCAGTCTTCAGTCTATTCCTTCACCCTGAATGTCACATCCAGTCCCAGAAGAACAATGGAAAATGGATTTTGTATCAATAATCTTCGAGAAGGAAAAAAAATTGCATTAATGTAAAATGATGCAATTAAAGTGCAATTTTGTTGCTACCTTTGGATTGTAGTTCAGCGTCTGTATTTTTTGACATTAATTTTATGGTTTTATGAAAATGTGCATTTATATGTTCACATTTCTATGCTCCTAGTTCTTTGCATACCAAAACAGCTATTTTTTTAACTTTTATTTATTGTGGTTGCTCTTTTTTATGTAATATATTTTTAAATGTTAAAGAATGACACATTTTGGGTAATTTTCCTCAGTCTTAAAAAAAAAATCAATAAGCCATTTTAGTCTCTATCTATCAAAGTTGTTTCATACTTGTCTATTTTAAAGCAGGACTGCAATACTTTAATAGGATTGAGAGAGCTATTTGAAATGTATGCCAATGATTCCTGTCATTTCATGGCAGCCCTGCCATGGTTCACTGAGCCCCCTCTTTTCTCTTGTCAGCTCAACTGAAGACAAGCATTTAGTTGCAAACTTTAAGCAGGTTGTGCAAAACAGAAATGATGTGACTGCTTCTCTTCCTGCACAATAATGTCACTGCTGGTCAATGTGAGAAGGTCAGGTTGCTCCTTGTAAAGCTACATGATACCACTTGCCTATTTGAACAAGTTAAGTTAACTGCTGAATCTGGTCCCTGCAGGCATTGAAAACTCACCCTTTTATCAAGTCTGCATTTCATAAGAAAGAAGAACAATTGTGCAGGGAGGATTTCTGATGATATGTTTATGTACTTTATAAGGACAGTTCCCAAACCAATGTTGCAGGTAATATATTTAGTTTAAGCCGAAAGACTTTAAAGTAATGGCTGTTTTGACCTTCAAATAGACTCCTTTTTTGTTGTTGTTGGTAGGACCCAAGAGTGACGCCCATCTTTGATGCTGACAGAATTTAAAGCAAGGCCATTGCCCTGCATTTTCTGCCTTGTAGCACACAAAAGTAAAATTGTATGTCAGGCCGAGATGTCGGGGAGCTGACAAGATGCCCCAGTGACATTTCAGCTGGAAAGAGCAAGTGTCTTGCAACCAAGTGGTCAAATATCAAATAATAGGTCAAGCAGGAAGGAGCTGAGTTCTAACCACAAAGAGGTTTCTGGTAACTTACTTGACAAGCTATTGGGCGCTTTGTGGCTTGACAAAGTGATGTTCTGTTGGGTATCGCTAGACAGACTGTTCTTTATCGCCTTCAGAAGATCAGACATTGACATTGATTAAACTCTTTAACCCTTAAAGGTTAAATCCTAGCAGTTTCATCATTGTGAATGAGGAACAAAAGAAAACTTGTAATATACCACTTGTTTCCATATTAATCACTGAACTCCCCAATGTTATTAACTTTTGATGTACTATGTAGTTTTTGACAAAAAGATTGAATGCAAAATCTATATAATAGATTGTTTCTTGTTATGGACCAGTGATACATTAGAAAAATAATATTATGCATTATGGAATTTGTAGTTTCTTCTAATATGTCAAAGACGGGATTTGATTTTAGAGCCCTGACTACTGAAATTCCATTTTTTCTGGAAAACAATATTTGTGTAGATAATATACGACTTATGATGATCAAAGTCTTCCAGATGCCCTTGTTCTCAGGTACCAGGAAGGCTGATATAAATCTCAAATACCTGACAAAAGAACTTCAATCAAAGACTTTCAAGTTTTCAGGTAGCCTCTTGTGCAAGTCCATTGCTGACAGTCATGATGTGCATGTGCACTAATACACAGCCATGCAAAAACAAATAATAAATTCTCCAAAACTAAACTGTCACAATAAAAGTTATCTGATACAGGAAGAACACTCCTTTTCTTTATGCTGATGAATTTAGTCTTGAACACTGAAGACAGAGGTTTTGCTGGCTCTCCTGCTTTCCTGGCAGTGACCAATCTTGGTAAAGGTGCTGCAAGTACTGTATTCTTCCCTGAGGGATATAATGTCAAGTATCTGTTTGCACAAAGAATTAAATAATATATTTCATAATACATTGAGCAGTTATTTTCAGTACTGCATATAGAAGTGTTTTGTGTGTTTCATTTTTAAAATATATCCTCATGGTACTCTGTAGTTTCAGGAAGACAGTGCTATATTATCTCAACTTACTGAAGAAAATTTACTACATATTGTCCCTTCGCTGTCATCGCCAATACATGTGATATTGTGTATCTAGATACAGAGAAGTGATTTATTTATGAAATCTGTTTTCCTTTCTGAAATCCGTATCTAGCTTTCACTAGGACTGATCTCCTATAGTTACTTCGCTTCTCCAAGCATTAAGATTGTATAGAGGTCACAGCTATGGCAAACTGGTTGTAGTTAACAGAAATAATCTAGCAAGCTATGATTTCTCACATAAACTGATATGTATGCTTTCATTTAAAGGAGGGCCTATTCAATCTGTTAAAATACTGACCAGCTGAAAGTTACAGACTTTTTCATAAACTCATGTGCTTTGAAGAGACTTTGAAATTGTGTTGTTTGGATGTTTGATGTCTCATTTGTAATAGGAAGCTCCTCTTTCATATATTATATAGAAGTTGTTGACTAATAAACTGGATTATCATTAGTTAAATAATCCCATGTTGCTTTTCCAGGCACTGATAAATTGGAGTTTGTGATAAATTCCAAGCAAATAGAAGAAATCCAGCTGGCAGGATCTCCCATTAGTATTTACAGATGATCTTACCAAGGCATTTCTTTCCATTTTGGGGGGACACAAAAAAAATCATGCTTGTGTAAAAGGTGACAATGCAGCTTGCTAAAAGCAGGTTCCAAAAGAGAATCCATGACTGGTTTATACCTTTTGCTTTCATTGTTCTGCTTCAGAAGTTACAAAGTTCGAGACCTTGAGCCTTATTTTCAAAGCTCTGCATGGTTTGGGCTTGGGATGTCAGAAGGACTGCTTCCACTTAAGGAACCTCAATTCCGTCACCTATATTGTTCTATGGAAACAAACAAGTTTTTCCTTAGAAGGAAGTCTGTTTTTAGTGGGATTAGAATATTCTCCAGGATTTTTGGAAAATCACACAAGAAATAATTGATTACAGATCTGCTTTCTGATGGGTCTAAAAATAAAATTAATTTATTTTCCTGACAAGCAACTCATCTCTAGAAAGAGATTTTGAATTATATGATTTCCACTGAATAGGAAGTTTTACAGTTTTAATACAAACTCTTTGAGTATGTGTTTGCATGCAGTTCTCGGCAAAGCGTTTATTGAGCTGACTGTATTATCACATACAGTAAACAATTAATACTGCAGCAGTAGCAAAGAAGGGCTTTTCAACTCTCCTTTTCTCCCACAGATATTTGCAAATTCAGTACAAGCTTTACCGTTAGTAAAGTTTGATGTATAATTGTGGGAGCCTTCTCCTCTGCTGGAAAATAATTTTTATTTCTGTACAAAGTAAACAAAGGACAGTTGGGCTTGGAAGGCACCTCAGGAGATCATGTAGTTCAAGACATCTGCTCAGAACATGGGTCAACTAAAATTACTGAGGGTCATGTTCAGTTGGGATTGTGTATCTGCAATAATGGAGCCTAGATATGTCTCCTCTCAGCCTATCCCAGTGTGAATTCAACCTGAGAGTAAAAATGCTTCTTTTCTTATATTTAAGTGAATTTTGTGTATTTCCATTTTTGCCCATTGCTGCTTGTTCTGTCACTGAGCACTGCACAGAAGAGACTATCTGCATCTTCTTTAGTTTGCAGGTATTTATACACCTGAGCCTTATCTTCTGCAAGCTAAATGAATCACAGCTTTCTTAGTTTCTCCACATAGGATAGATACTTGAGGCCTTCTTCCAGCAATCAACTTCGTGGACTTTCACTGTACTCCAGCAAGTCCATGTTTTCCTAATAGAGGCTCAGGAAGGGAACTGGCACTCCAGGCATACTGAAATCAGGGCAAAGAGGGGAAAGGTCACATCCCTCAACCTTCAGTCAACATTTCTCCTGAAGTAGCTCCAGGAGGCTGATGGCGTCCTTTTTTTGCCTCTTTCCTCCCAGCTAGAGACTGAGACCTGGGAAGAAAGAGGAGAACTGTGTGGATGGGCTGTAGTGACCATGCCTCAGTGGTGCTCATGATCTCAGGGAATACAGGGCTGGCAAAGAGCAGGTGAGGACCCTGCACTTCAGTAAAGTGAACTGGCTGTTTAAGGAATTGCTGAATGAGATCCCTCAGGAAACTGTTCCTAGAGAAATAGGAATGGAACAGAGCTGGCAGCTCTGTAAGGGTACCTTTCAGAGAGGATAAGGACATTCCATCCCTCAGTGTAAGAAAACATGCAGAGGCAAGAAACTGTCATAGATGAACAAGTATCTGCTGGGCAAACTGAAGGAAGGAAAGCAAGGAAATGTACAGGCAGAGGAAGCAGGAGGCATGCAGCCTAGGAATAATGCAGGGATGCTGTCTGGATGTGCAGAGTGGAGATCAGGAAAGATTCTCCAGGTACACTGGTCAGACGAAAAAGGCCAAGGAGAGTGTAGCTCATCTGATCAATGAGAAGAGAGAACTCGCTTCAACCAACATGGGGAGGTCTGAGGTAGTAAACAAGTTCTTCGCCGCAGTGTTTCCTGGTAGCGAGGCTTCTCATATTCCTGAATCTTTAGGTGAAGCGTGGGGAGCAAAATCCCTCCTACAACATAGAACAACAAGTCAGAGACCAACTCAGACTGAATGTGTACAATTCTATAGGTCCTGGAAAAAATGGGTCAATTCTTGACATCAGCTGAAAGCACAGAAAGTTTTCTGCCAGCAAAAACAGACAGAAAAAGCTGAGGTGCTGAAGAAGATTTTTAGCTCTGTCTTCACTGGCAGTCAGGTCTCCCATCTCTCTCAAATCCTTGAACATCTACAGGGAGATTGGGAGAATCAAACTCCCTCTCAGTGTAAGCAGAGAGCAAGTCTGAGATACGTGATGAAAGTAAATACGTACAAGTCAAGGAGGTGATTTGAGGTAGCCAGAGTGGTTTCACCAAGGGCTGATGGTGCCTCACCAATCTGATGGCTTCTACAATGGAATGATAGCATCAGTGGGCAAAGAAAGAGCAACTGATGTCTTCCACCTGGACTTGTGCAGGGTCTTTGATATGATCCCACAGCACAGTTTTCTTCTGTAAACTGGTGAGATACGGATGTGAGAAGTGGACTATTCAGTGGTTAAAGACTTGGAGGGATGATGGCACCAGAGGGTTGTGGTTGGTGGCTCTATATCCAGGGGGAAACTGGTGATGACTGGTCTACTTCTGGGGTCCATTGTGGGACCAGTGCTCTTCAACATCTTCATCAGTGACCTAGACAGTGAGACTGAGTGCATCCTCTGTGTATTTGCTGATGACACCAAGCTGAGTGGTACTGCGGATACAACTGGAGGAAGAGATGCCATCCAAAGAGACATGGGTAGGCTTGAGAAGTGCACCCACATGAATCCAGTGATGTTCAGCGGGGCCAAGAATGCCCCATCCTTGGAGGTATTCATGGCCACATTTTTAATGAACCATGGATCCTGGGCAGCCTGACTGGCAATACATCCCAAGCATAGGGGGTATGGAGCTAGAAGTTATTTAAGGTCCCTCACAGTGCAGTTCATTCTGTGATTCTGTAATTCTCTGATTATTCTGAAGTGCTGACTCTCTATGCAGAACGTTATTGCTCTGGTACTGATGAAGCTGAAACAGACTGACACCACTGAGAACTGCTTGCTGTTTTTTGCATTCCTATCACATATTCAGACGGCACTGCTATGTCATCTACAATCTTTTTCACTTGCTTTGCTTCATTCCTATCTGGTGCCCTTATTAGAGTTTTCAATTGATTTCTGCTACTGCGTCACGCAGTCAATTGTAACACTATGCAGTGCAAGGTTTTAAGGGGAAAAAAATGCTGCTGTGGTTACTACGTGGTTTGCCTGTAAGTTGTTCAGGATTCCCTGCTGTTTGTTTTCATATATGGATCAACACAGTTTGTAGCAAAGCCAATGATCTTCATAGCAAAGATGCTGTGATAGGATCACTATGGAGATTTCTTTCTGTTTCTCTTGCCCAATCTCCCTCAAAAAGTGAGGAAGTTGACTATCACAATGTTTTTAGTAATTATCACTGCTCTGCATCACGTCAAGTATCAGACAGGAGAGTTCTCTGTTGAAATATGTATTTCCAGTGGCACCTTCTAACAAATTAACAACCTCATCACAAAAGACAATTGAGTAGTTTACCACATTTTTCTATTGTAGCAAGTTGTATTGTCTCGTGCTTTTTATCTGAATAGTCTACTATTTCAGTGGAGGAAGTGAAATAATTCAAAATTCACAGTAATAAGATGAGGATCAGAGAGAGAGTTGCAACTGCACTTAGAATGCTTCTTACAACCTGAAAACTAAATTAATTGCAAAACTTAGTTCTGTTCATGAGAACAGCCCCCTTTTCTTTAGTGGTGCCATGAACAGAAAGCCAAATTCCCAGCATAAACTAGTTAGAATTTGTAAAACATCTTAATCGTCCTCCTTTTTTAAAAAATAGTTTTATAAAGAAAGGTATTAGGATCACTGCTGATGCGTTTGTAGTTAAGTTAGTTTGTTATGAGGACTGTTAGGAGGCATGGGTGGGTTACACATGTGTAATCTGGCTTCTGTGATAAACTGCTTGAAAATGATGACTGAATAAATATTTTTGAAAATGAGCAAAATGCATTTACTTACCCTTTAAATTCACTTATAGAATTGGCACGAGTTCTCTTTTCTTGTTTATTTTCCTCAATCTGCCATATTGAGAAGTGGCCCATGCTGATGGTATCTGACAACACCTCCATAACCCTTTGTACTGAAAACATGCTGTAGCTTGTCTCTTTTGAGTCATTTAGATGTATTGTATTCAAATATCACTTTTGCTAAACCTATATACCTGCAGCACATCAGATTAATGCAATGAATAATGAAGAGTACTTAGAATGAAATCTAGCAAATCACTAAAACTGAACAGGAGATTTCAAAAGAGACAGAAACAGAAATAAACTAACCAAATAAGAACAGAGTGTATAATTGGTTTATTTCCTTACTGGACCCTTAGCACTAAATCCTATTGTCTGTGGGAAGAATAAGGAAAGAAGACCTGCAGGTTTGCTCAATTGCACTACGTGTCCCTGCAGATATGCAGTACACTTATTGATTGTCTGTCTGAAGACTTGAGTCAAGTATCCAGCTCTATTTTTGCTTTTCAGTGCTGGACTTGTCAGTCCAGCATACTTTCTAAGGGCTGGAAGATGCATTTTGCTATCTATTATTCCCACACAGAAACCAACCACATCAGTGGGCAGATCTGATGGGCATTCAAAGCATGTTGTTTTTCTGGCAGAATGCCACGGCTGGCCATGTGGATTGTGAGCTGAAAAAGATAGCCCTAAAAGAAACCAGGTACTAACCTGCTACAAGCATTATCATTTAACACTGGAGTGAGGTGATGTTG